CGGGGGTGTATATCCGGGGGACCCGGGGCCCGGGGTAGGGGGGTAAAGCGGGGCCTCTGAAGGCGGCCGCCCGCCTGTCTGTCTGTCTGTCTGTCTTGCCCTGCGGACTCATTTCACCATGAGCTGAAGCAGGGGTGAGCTGCTGCTGCTGCTGCTGCTGGTGTAGCACTGTAATGATGCGTGTGATGTGTTGTGTTGTATGTTGTATGTCCCTGTATGAGACCGGCATCGTGAACCCCGGGTTGCCCCCCCGCCCGCTGTGGCTACCCCTCTGGGCCCTCCTTCAGGACGTGGAAGGTGTACGACCTGCCGTGGGCGGCCACCGGACCGCTAACGGTATCCTCATCGCCTGGGCTGCTGCACTCCAAAGATGACTGGTATGTATGTATGTATGTATGTATGTATGTATGTATGTATGTATGCTCTGCTTTGCTTTGCTTTGCTCTGTTTGACAACAACTCGGAAGGCTGTGTACTTGTTATTCACCGCTAAGCAGGTGTACGACAACCAATACCCTGTCACACACACCAGGGCCCCAGAGCCCCACACGGCGATGTGGTAGTTGGTAGTTAGTGATGGGTAGTTACTCCCGACCCGGTAGTTACGGCCACACCTCCCACCTCCACCCTCACCACCCATCGCAGGTACACAACCGACGTGTTCGTTGTGATGGAAACAACCAACGGAGTGTACAACAAGGAGCTGTACGACCTCATCCAGCCCAAGTGTGTGCTGATGTGGCAGCGGGTGCAGGTGGGCCGCATGTATGTGTGTCTGTCTGTATATCTGGGGTTTGCAGGAGGCGGCGGCAGTAATACCAAGTGTTACCTAGGCGACACATATTCACCGCATGTTAATGCAGTTGGCGGTTATTCGGTCATTCGGTTAAAGCGATCTAACCTTGTTTTCGGCTTGCCGGTGCAGTGGAGACCTTCCCTTCCCTTCCCTTCCCTCGCGCTGCCGAGGACACCAACACACACCAGCACATGCCCCCCTGGGGTTTGGAGCTACCCCCCGGGGCAGCCCCTTATGCGGGTTTTAGGGGGCAATGCGTCGAGAAGTACTCCCCCCCTTTGAATCCGCAGTCGGGGGCCCCTGGATGTGCTGTTGGCGGGCTCCCCTCCCTCCTCCCCCCTCTGACGGCGAGGTGACGGGGCCATGATGAACTGCAGCACCCCGGGTCCCCCCACCCCCTCACCCCCTCACCCCCGGCCCCCTGATCGCTTCACCAAGTGACTTCATCATCATCCAGCCGTCCCTTGTCCGGTAACGTAACGGCTCCAGAGGGCGGCAACACGCCCCCACTTCTCCAACCCCCCCCACCTCACATC